GAAGCTGCAGCAAGTCAAATAGAGCCAACCTCATTTCCTGGCTAGAGGATGACCAGCATCATCTAGATCAGTGATGGCGAACCTTGGCACTCCAGCTGTTTTGGAACTACAAGTCCCATGAGGCTTTGCAGGGCTCTGACAGCCACAGACATAACTCCCAGAGGCAGATGCATTTTGGGATTTGTAGTTTTGGCACAGCTGGAGTGCCAAGGTTCGCCACCCCTGATCTAGATCCTTCCTCTACAGCCTGTCCCTGGCATACCTTTTGGATTTCAACTCTTTTAGTCATGGAGGCTAAGCATCAAATGTTAGCATTACCTAGTGGAATCTGCAAGCATGTGCAGTCTGCTTAGGAGCACCTACTCCAGACTGTCACCCATCCATCAGAGCATATCCTGTCCTGGGGACACAACAGTGTCAGTGAGTGGAATTCCATTCAAGGTTATTTGAAATACTCTCTTGTCAGTCAACCAGGTTTCACCCATGGAAAGGTTCTCCTCACCTTTTTGTTTCTGTAACAACTGTATAATAATGGATTTTACATCACGTTCTGTCCTGATGTCAATAGTTACTATTGCATCTCCTCAGTGGAAGCATATATAGCAACAAAAATGTGAGCAGGATTCTAACCCTTCCCCATTGGCCATATGCACATCCAGAACCGCTGGTGGATAGTGTAGATATAGCCTAGTATTGTAGAACCAATTATTCCAAGCTGCATTTAGGTGTATCAGGCTATTTGGTACAGTGTATGAAAACCATGGCTTCTATGGAATAGGGCTTGGGAACCAATGGGACAGTATAACCCTGCAGTCTATATGGGAAAGAATTAAAGCAATCAAAAAGCCCTCACTCTAATAAGAGCATAGAACAATAAAGCCTTCTTAAAATAAAAATTAACATGCCTCATTCTATCATATATCCCCAAAATTAGAAGAGTATTCCTCATTTGTAATAATGGCATTCTGTGAATCCTGGAGGGGAAAATTAATGGCAGGATTTTCCCTCCTTGTTCACAGAACATTTTGTGTTCTGTGAAAGTATTACAAGTAGTATTGTGAATAGGTGAGGGGAGAGGAAAGGGAGAACGAATGAAGGGAGTCCTTCACAGTCCCAGTCTCTGCTCTTAAAGAAAAACTCTGTGCAAAACTTGTATTAACCATTGCTGTGGGGCTATCCCCGCACGGCAAAAGGTTTTTCATCTAGATGCTAACAAAGTTATGCTCACCCGAACCTCAAAGCTGGCTGGCTGTCACAAAGGGTTAATTTACACCATAAGCAGTGCGTTCTGGTCCGATTCTGTCCGGAACGCACTGCCTCGCATTGCGGCCGGCTCACTTTTTTGCCGCGCTGGAGGGGGCGTGGCTGGCCATTGAAGTGAGTGGCACTGTAGCCACACCCTCCGGCCACAATACGATCGCCTGCACGGGATCGCAAGGCACATTGTGCCTGCAGTGCGGTCCGATACGTTCAAAATGCTGCAACACTGCAGGCACTTCAATGGCCCGCCACGCACCCTCCAGCCTGGAAAAAAAGTGAGTCGGCCGCAATGCGAAGCAATTCGTTCTGGCCAGAATCGGACCGGAATGCACTGCTTATGGTGTGAACTAACCCAAAGCTCCCTCCAGCTTGTCTCCTCCTGCAGTGATGTTCCTCTGTATCCTTATGTCCAACCAGTTGCGGAACTACCGCCATAGCGACCCATGTGGGCGCTATGGGGCCCGCAACAGACGGGGGCCCGGTCAGGAGCAGAGCTCACAATCTTCCCGGCCGGGCCTCTACCAGCGTCGGACTGAGCATACGGGCATTGCCCAAGGGTCAAAGATGGGGCCCGTCAGCGACCCCCGAGCCCTTTTCAGCCCGCATGGAAGGGGATGCCGGTTTGATAAAACGGCGACGGCAGTGTAGCCTGCCTTCCGGCCGGGCCCACTGTACACTGCCGTTGCTGCTTTAACAGAGCGGGATCTCTTACAGCGCTGCGGCCGAAAAGAGCTCTGAGGTGGGGGCGTGTCACAGTGGATGGGGGCGGACCTACCGCAGAGGGCGGATGGAGGGACGGAAGCACGAGAGCCTCATGCTGGGGGGGCCCCACTGAGATCCGGCCCTGGCCCCCCACTGGAGGAGTTCTACTGGAACCTGGTGATCGGGAGCCCTGATGCTGGTAAGTTAATTTAATTACTTTTTTTTCTTTAAGCTGTAAATAGTAAGATTTTTAACCTTTTAGTCTCTATTTACTTACAGCGTTTGCGTTTCCCTGCGGTTTTTCATGTGGGAACCCGCACGGGACGCAAATGCTATATTTGAACTGCACGGATTCCGCTCGTTTGCGACCATTATATAGCCGCAAACGTGCGGAATCTGACGGATTATTGCGCTTGCAGTATTTTGGGGGTCGCGTGGGTTAAAGCTCCATTCACACTGGAGCGGCTGTCCGAATACGAGCAGAGCCACTCTAAACAGAAAAAACAATGCACTTTTATGTGCTTTGTCCAGACTGTTGCGGGACCGCATGGTACGAAACCGCACGGCCCCCAAAATAGTGCAAGCGCGATAATCCAGAGGATTAAGCGCGTTTGTGGCTATATAATAGCTGCAAAATAGCGAAATCCGTGCAGTTGTTTCACATATAGTGTTATATACGTGCGCAAACTATATGCGGGTTATTCACCGACTGAATAACGGAGCAGAAGTGAGTTTAACGCTGTTCGGCTATTCACTTCAGCCTTGTAGGGCTGATTTCAGCCATACCTCGGCTAAAATCAGCCGTACATCGGCTGCCTTCGGTCAGCCGAACATACTTGGCTGAGCCGAAGTGCAGAAGGAGTTTGACTCAGCTGATCCAACATCTGGATCGGCTAAGCCGAAACTCCGGCAGCTCACTCTATAAGTAAGCTCACAATAAGTAAATAGCCAAATGCCGCAAGCGGCATTCTGGTTGGCTATTCTGCTCAGTACCTCCATGGTAGCGAGCAGAATAGAAAAAAAGTTAAATAAATGAGAAAAATGTAGAAAAAATGTAAAAAAATGTAAAATATTTTAAAGGGAAAAAAAAACGACGCACATCCTGTTTCCTATTGGCCGGCACCTGCCAGAGTCTTCTCGTAGGTCCCGGCCAATAAATAACAACTGGGTGGAGTCGGCTGTGACGTCAGGCAGGTGTCAAAAAGACCACTGTGCATGTGCGACCCCGGGTGACACCCAGCCTCGCGACGCCACTGAGTGAATGCACATGTTTTGTGATTGCACTACACCCGAATGCAGGACATTGTATTACCATGCATTCTGGTGAAGCCAATGACATAAATAGCACTGCCAATACCTCCTATGGTGCTGTGACAAGACTTCCCAGGTGTCTGCAGGCTATTAAAGCCAGCAGACACCTGGGAAGTCTTGTATGCTACATGCTGGGTCATTCATTGCTGTGCCTGTCAGTACTCTTCCTGTTCTCTGTTTCTAAGGACTTGCTCACACCAATTACAGTGCGTTCCAAAGCGGTAGATGCTAGAATGCACTGTATCGCACACTAAGCTCTCCCCGGCATTCCGGTCCAGTGCGATCGCACTGGACCAGAATGCGGTGGGGCATGGCTGCGGTGCCATTATTTTCAATGCACAGCCACGCCCCCTCCCATCCCAGAATGCCCCAAAATGCAGTGCGTTCCAGCTACCACTCTGGAACGCACAGTAATTTGTGTGAATAAGCCCTAAAACCCTTTTACACCTTCACATATATTGCTGTAATTGTCCTCTTTTTATACTGTTGCTCCTCTAACGGCTGTAATCTTAAAAGCTCACTTACACCCTTGCCCAGAATTCAAGAGATCGCATACACAAAGTCTCCTTGCGTTCTGGGGGACGGGGGGATGGTGTAGGTATTGGCAGTGCTATTCATGTCATTGGTTTCACCAGAATGCATGGTAATATAATGTCCTGCATTCAGGTGTAGTGCAATCACAAAACATTGTGCATGCACTCAGTGGCGTCGTGAGGCTGGGTGTCACCCGGGGTCGCGCATGCGCAGTGGTCTTTTTGACGCCTGCTGCCGGCCATCTTGGTGATGGACGCCGACAGAGAGAGGAGGGGACGTTCACCCGGCAGGATACGGTATGCCGCCGGGTCCCCTCCTCTCTCCTGACACTGTCGGGCTCTCAGTCCAAGAACGAGTGCCCGACATTTCATAAGGGGTGACACCAAAATGATACTTTGTGGGGGGGGGGTCTCCTTACAAAATTTTGTTATGGGGCCCTGTGATATGTAGTTACGCCCCTGTGTCCAACACACAGTATATTTGACATGATGACTCGAGGATACCTAGACCTCTGCAGCGGAGGGGGAGCAAGGCTGGTAGGATTGGTCTAAGAGCAAGCTGGTTCTGAGGATTGGGTGGGTATAACTTTTTTGTTTTAGCACTTAGACTAAAATGAGCATCTAACCCTTGCAGTATGGGGCTAGCCCCTCTGCAAGGGTTAATATATTTTTTGCCTGGAGTTCTTCTTTAACCCCTGTAGTGCGGGAAGCATACTGCAGTGAGTCGGCTAAACTGAAAGGAAAATTTTGTAAGTAACCAGCAGCCAGAAGGACATAGAATATGGGTAATTTAGAGTAAATTATGTGCAGTATTCCCATAAATTGCTTTACTAGACTTCAGCTTAACCGGTTTAGTGACAAATAAGAGCATCAGGAAAGAGTTAAAAATAATGCTCCATACTGTGAAAACAGATAAATAATATGTTTAGTGGCTGCTTGTACATTTTACCTCATTTATTCCTCTTCACTTGAAAGACAAGTGTTCTTTTAATTAAGAAACTCTTCAGCTACGAGGCACCCCTAAGCCAAAGGAGGCTAATTTAGGCCTGTAGGTTTCTATGTACTTGACAGAGCCACAAGGAGCCTTGTAACTACTGAATGATTATTAGCTTTAGGTCAGCTGAGAGATGCACATCCTCAAGAGTACAAATAATTTCACAGGAGACTTCATTTTTTTTTTTCACTTTTCTTTAGAACCAACCTGGGTAAAACAAAACATTTTCACCTGGAAACTTGTGTCGGAAATCGCCTTATGCCAAGACCTGTAAGTGCTCTCTACGAATTGGAGAAGAGATTCCTGCCTCATCTTTCTTCATCGGATGGAGAAGACAGAATCCCGAAACTCTGTGTACATTATTGAAGGTCACCTCTGGCTGCTGATCTGTAAACAGAGCTATTTTTTAACAGGAGGGCCATCAATTGTAAGCTCTTTAACTTGAAGTAATGTTGCTAAAACTTCAACAAACAGTAACTGAACCTACAACAGAAGTAGTTTTAGACCAACAAGGAATTAATGTGCAACTCCAGCCAAAAGTGTTTTTATAGTTTTGGGTTGTATGGGGAAGGGTTTGGAAGTTGGGTTTTCATTGTTGTCTTTGTCCCTAATGTAGAGATTTACCCAGAAGAAAGTGAGAGGAAATCTACAAAATGGGGACATAAATCAATATAAATTTAAGAGGGGTTCTCTGCCTTCCCCACTCTTTTCAAAATTAAAATAAAGATTTTGCTGGAGTAGGGCTTTAAAGCTGAACTCTACACAGACATACCTTAAACACGCACAAATTGCTGCAGATCTATATTCATTAAATCTATTTTTTAAATGTTAGCACTGTAAGCACCTGAATTTGACTTTGGTAGTGACTATACAGCAAAGCTCCGAGAAGGTGGGATAAGCAGCACAAGAATCAAGTTGATGGGAGGAGAGAGCAGAGCGACAAAAAAACAAGCAAGTCATTGTGGTGCTTCCTCATTCACTGTCCAGTCACAGAGAGGGGGTGGGAAGGAGTCCAGCAAGTGAAAGTGAAGCTGCAGCAGAGAATGATCAGGTCTCCTTTGTCAGGCAAAGCTTTGCTGTGGGGTAGAGCTGTGTAACTCTCAGGACTAGATCAACAAAAATACAACTGCTTTGGCAGTAGAGTTGCCACCTTTTCTAAGAAAAAAAAAAACCTTTTCTATTATTAACATTGGCAACGAGTCCCATTTTTACCAGCCAGGCTGCTAAAACACCAACTATGTGGCAACCCTATTTGGCAGGTAAAACAGCTCCCTGTTGTGTATTTTATCTGTGTAATTAGTTGTTTGCCTGGACTAGTTCAGCTTTAAATATTTTCAGTTCCAAAGAGCTCATGAAACATTTGTATTCATCATTAACTGTGCAGCGTTTCACTGAAGTTCTGTCTTCTTATAGTCTGTAGGGCTGTTCTATGGTATTGTTTCTCTCTGTTCGGATATGTCTAGTGCTTCTATAGTGTGATATTTATTTGTGATGAATGAAGCTTTTCCAAATTAAACTTTCTTTAAATAGTTATCATGATATTGTGTGGTTTTTGTGTTAGTAGTTGCACCTTTGTGGCACAGAGGGGTTTCAGCAATTTTTGAACTTGATATCTTTAAGCATTTCTATCAAGGCTGAGGCAGCTGTGGCTGTGGGAGGCGCAGCCAGTGTGTTATCTTCCACTGGGGGCAGGTAAATAGGCTATGGACCCCCAAATTACCAGCAATACCTACTTGGAGTAACAGTGGTGCAAACAACCCAATGGCTTTAGTATCAGGCTGTTTTGGGAAGGGAACCTCAGTTCCTTGCTCCCTCTCCTGCTATAACATTAAAGCATATATTCCCACCTGAAGGCAACCTTGCTTTGACAAAATGGTGAGACATATGTGGTCAAATGAACTACCAGATAGTTGTACTAAGTCTAAAGGTGCCCATACACTGTACGATTCTCGTACGAGAATCGCGGGAAATCCCGCGATCGTACGAGAATCGTACAGTGTATGGAAGGCGTGCAACCGTTTCTTCTGTACGGTCGCACGTCTTCCATCGAACAAGCAGGCTGGAAAACCCGCCGGGAATCGTACGATTCTCGGCGAGTGAGTGGCCTGCTTGTTCGACAACTGACGAACGGGCCTGTGTGCGCACGCCACACTGCCCATTTGCCGTGCTTGCAAGCCCGCCCCTCATTGCGATGATCGCAAGTACGATCTGCCTGTCCAAGATGGGCAGATAGTACGTTTTTTTAAGTGCTTTACAACCATCGCAAGACTAAGGTCTTGCGATGGTTGTAAAGTGTATGGCCACCTTAAGATACAGAAATTTTACAACTTCAAATTAATTCTGCAGGTACTGGTATTCCAGAACAAATGGCTGACATTGTTCACTTTATTAATTGTTAGTGTCCTCACCCTACACAAGAACATGAGCCTCAGTAACCAGGGCTCAAATACTATGAATTTGAAAAAATGGAACTTAAACTCATCTATAAAAAAAGGATGGACAGCAAATTATTGATCTAACAGTAAAAATAATAGTAAAAAAATAATAATGAAATGACAACCACAGATTTCCAGCGTGAATGAAACCATGCAAATTAGATAATTTTTTCACTTTACATAAGAATACCTTTCATACCTAAGATAAAGTATATAATCTTGCCTTTTTAAATGCTGGCCAAGCCCTCCCAGAGCCAAGCTCTCCTTTTTTTTTTTTACCCCTTGCCTCCTCTCTATGCCTTTCCCACACAGCTTATATGCCATTACAGAATGTACGAGCTGGCGGGAGGAACCATAGCAGCCAGGGGAGGAGCACTTTGATGAATATAGAGCTGCTTTGTATTTTTTTATTTCTGCCTGCATTTAGATGTAATTCATTGGTCAAAAAATAAGAGTATTACACTAGGGAACATCACCAGCTGGAAAAAAACTGGAATAATAAATGCTGTCAAGGGTTTAAAAAGTAAAGTAGAATATATATACCGTATTTTGTGGTCCATAAGATGCACCGGACCATAGGACGCAGGGAGGTCCGGCAGGCCTTATGGAGCACTCGACAGACTGTAGCTTCTGTCACAGCTTCTATGACAGAAGCTGTGACAGAAGCTGCAGTTAGTGACCGCTGAGACAGGTGGCGACCTTCAGGGTGCCAGCCTGATATCTTGGGTGGAGGGTCTCAGCAGGACCAGATGCGGAAGATCTCACCAGGGGCAAATGGGAAGGGTCTCACCAGGGCAGGTGCAGATGGTCTCAGCAGAGACAAATGCAGAGCATCTCAGCAGGGACAGATGCGGAGCATCTCAGCAGGGGCAGATGTGTAGGGTCTCAACAGGGAGGCAGGAGCAGATGCGGAGGGTCTCACCAGGAGCAGATGCAAGGGAATTTCACCAGGGAGGCAGGGGCAGATATGTGGGCTAGTGGAGGAGCTGTACGGGCCGGTGGAAAGCGGAGTGATCTGCGGGCTGGAGCTCTATACAGGACCACTGTGGCTGCTCAGAAGGCTGCCAGGAGGTTGAGGTCCATGTTCTGCTCTGGGTGCCTGCTTGATGGAGGGTCTCAACAGGGGCAGATGTGTAGGGTCTTAGCAGGGCAGATGTGGCGGATGGCAGCAAGGGATGATGTGTGTGTGATAGCCTGTTAAAGAACTTAGAATAGAACATAGTTGAACTTGAAACTTTTAAGTTCAACTATGTTTTCTTCTATGTTCTATAATGGCAAGTAGTCACCTCAGCTGTCTGATAATATCCTCCTGGCTGTTCTCAGTTCACATGGCCAGAGAAAGCTTGGGGGGGAGGCTGTAAAAAAAATTCATTTGCAGGAACACTAACCCAGTCAGAGGCACCATGCGTCCCTCTCTCTCTGCAATATTAGGCGGCTACTGCTCGCTAGGTCCCCACGCCCGAGACCAGAGTATGGCCCTATTATTTTCCTGTTCATCTTGTGTTCGCCATCTGGCACGCTTGCCACTGCCCTCCCATCTCTGTGCCCGAGGCAGTTGTCCCAGTCCTCCGAGTTGTTAAACCACTGCCGGGACCAGATCTAAGTAGGCCCCCCACAGCCTTGGACCCTGGGGCAGCCTCAGTGGTAGACAGATGGTCCGCCCATGCTTCATAGAACAAAAATATGACTGGATGTTTGGAGTGCATCTTCATCTGGCAGATTCCTTGTTTTCATTTGAAAGAAGCCTGGTTGGGTATTTTGGGATACATCTCCACCTTTACTTCAGTTCTAATTATTACAGATATCCGGTGCCTGTGTCTGTTAGGGATGAGTGGAGTGATTTTGTCAAAATGCAGCAGAAACTCTTAGGCCCCATTCACACACGAATCGGCCTGCACGTACAGCTCCGTGCTGCGTGCGGGGCCGTACCAAGTAGCTGCCGGGAAGGACAGGTGCTGCGTGTGATTAGAACACAGCCCCCATCCTTCTCTATGGGGCTACGCGGCCGTACGCCCCCCTAAGCTCACCTCATTTACAGGTCCGTAGATGTGCAGGTTTTCTGGCCGGGACGCATACAGGATCCATTCCGGCGGCGTATGAATACGATCAAAAAAAAGGTTGAGTGTTCTGCGCTACGAAACAGACCCCAAGGGGGAGATTTCACAGAGAGTAAGGGTTAACCGCAAGCTGCTGGAACTAAGGCCAGATAAGCCTCACAAAATAGTTTTAGAATAGTGAGCGCTATGGGTCTCCTGGAGTGAAGTGAGAGTCCAACAATAAGTGGTATAAAAATATATATGAATATCTCTAAGCAAACATCTTATAATGTGAAATAAAAATGCTAAAGTGATATGTGAATAAACAAATCGAAAAACAAAAATGTAAATCAACTAATAAAATTGCTTAAATATAAATAAACAAATAAATCTTCAATAGACCGTGTGTCCGTGATTTTTTTCTCTGATTTTTTCTGTATTACAGTGTGCATATAACTGCATCTATCATCACCTGTAATGTGCTGATAGATATGCAGTGGTGTATCATAAACGTGTCCTAAACTTTGTGGTTAAATAGTGTCCAAAAGTGCTCCAATCCAAAAGAGGCAAAAAGCTTGAATATGTGTATCCAAGATAATCGTATCCTGGGGGATGGTGTGTCGGAGAAGCGATGGGTCCCCGTAGGGCTTGCACTCACCAGATGCCGAGAGGGAGTCAGCTTTCTCTTCCACCGTGATGGCTGAAAGGAGATGGTCTTTGCTCCGTCCTTCCGTGGGATCCTGCAATATACTTTCGGTCCTGGTCCCAAAAAGAGATGTCGGTATCCCGATGATAACAGTCCCCTGGTGATGGTAAGATGCCCTTTGGATTGCTTCCGGGAGTACGTCCTAATTTTAGTCTCTCCTCGCAAGTCCAAAAGATCTATCACTGATCTATCTATTTGGACACTATTTTGGACACTATTTAACCACAAAGTTTAGGACACGTTTATGATACACCACTGCATATCTATCAGCACATTACAGGTGATGATAGATGCAGTTATATGCACACTGTAATACAGAAAAAATCAGGGGAAAAAAATCACGGACACACGGCCTATTGAAGATTTATTTGTTTATTTATACTTAAGCAATTTTATTAGTTGATTTACATTTTTGTTTTTCGATTTGTTTATTCACATATCACTTTAGCATTTTTATTTCACATTATATGATGTTTGCTTAGAGATATTCATATAAATACGATCACCCGCACCCCTACGGACCTACAAATGAGGTGAACGTAGGGGGGCGTACGGCCGCGTAGCCCCATAGAGAAGGACGGGGGCTGCGTTCTAATCACACGCAGCACCTGTCCTTCCCGGCAGCTATTTGGTAGGGCCACGCACGCAGCACGAAGGTGTACGTGCAGGCCGATTCGTGTGTGAATGGGGCCTTAAGCTGAAAATTTTAGTGGCACTGAATTCTTAAATATGCATTCAAGTATGTTAACTATTAACAAAAATGTATCTTATTTGTGCATCAATCGGCTGTAGATCCTCGAATCATCTCTGAATTTGTGCTGACACTGTCCTTCCTTCTGAAGAGTGGCTATTTTTGTTCCCCATGGTCGTTGTGTGCATTATAAAGTAGTCACTGCTCCAAGCTTGCTCCTGTGATGGACTACAATCTCAATACAAATTAGTAAACTAAACATGAGATTGTAGTCCATCACAGGAGTGAGTTTAGGACTTTGGATAGATTGAGGAGGGTTAGAGGCTCTGTCAAATTGTTATTGCTGTCTGTGTCCCCATAAGAGAGATTTGTCCCTCTAGTTGTACTGTTACCACTGTCACTAACACACAAAGGGGAAATCCACAGAACAGAGTTGAGGTGAAATGTTCCATTGGGGACACCTGTTCTAGGGACAGCTGTCTAAGAGGGGAATTCCGCTCACCTCTGGAGGTTTCCTTTAACTTCTTGTTGCATCTTTGGGACCGGAAGTGAAATCTTTCCAATGGTACGACAGCAAAAAAATAACCTAATTTGGTCTTTTAACCCTTTCCTATTTTGGCTTTACTTACATTAATATATGATTAAATATATTTTGTAATGCAAGCAGTAGAAGTACCTGAATTTGGCTTGGTGTTGCAGTCTAACATACAGCAGAGTTCAGAGAGGGGAAAGGTGAAGGTCCCTGTGTGTGTTGTAATGTAGACATTGCTCCAATTAGTTAGCTAATTTGTATTGAGATTGTAGTCCAACACAGGAGTGAGCTTGGAGCGGTGGCTACTTTGCAACACCCACAGGGACCATGGAGAACAAAAGTAGTCACCCTCCAGAAGGAGGGACAGTGTTACAGGCATCCCAACCTGAAAAAAGCCATTTCAGGGAGGCGCCCTTCTCATTTCAGGGAGGTGTCCTGGGGGATGGGGGAGAGAGCGCCTCCCTTAAATGATGGCAGATAGCAAAGAAGTGCTTCCCTTGCTATCTGCTGTTTTCTTTTTTTTTTCATCATATACATTTTTATTAGTTCCATCACAAAAGACATCACAGTACAACATAAAGTATAGTGCTGAGCTTGAGGTCTAGTCGTTAGGCCTTATAAATGACATCAGTGGGTACATGGAAGTAGCGGATCTGTAGGTACCGTGTCTTATATTTTTTTTGCCCCCAAATAACACATTAGGTCTTATTTTCAGGGGATGTCTTATTTTTTTAATGTGCAACAAAATGTACAACAATCCAAAGTTATCTGGTGTCACTCCGCCTGCCACAGTAACTGGCGCTATAGAGTAAGTATCGGCTAATGCGGCTCTGCTCCCTCCGCCACCGCAGCCTTGCTTTCTACAGCGCCTGCTTCCTTTGCCATCAGGGACAGCAGTGCAGCAGTGGGGACATCAGACAGTGGACAGTGCGGTAAAGTACAGTACCATTTATCGGTACACATTACAGTACAGTACCTATTACATTAAGCAGTGCCTACAGGGGGGACAGCAGTTAGTGTAGTATGGTACTGGAGTGCTCCCTGTCACTGTGCTGGCCGGAGGGAGTCCCGTCATCCCCTTAATACAGTATGTCCCTGCAGGCTGATACCATCTCTCCTGCTCTTCAAGTTCCCTCTCACATGCTACCACCAAACTAGGTCTTATTTTCAGGGTAGGTCTTATATTACAGGAATCTTGAAAAATAGTACTAGGTCTTACTTTCAGGGTAGGTCTTATTTTTGGGGAAACAGGGTATATTCACTTTCAGCTCAATTAGAACAATTTGTTTAACCGTTAAACAAGAGAAGTAATCAATTCATATGAATAAATCAGCATTTATTGCTGAAGTGGTAATGCAATATAAAGATTTTGTGGTCAGTAAACCGATGGTATCCAACGTGGGTGAAAGAAAGGGCTATATGCAGCACTCTGATGATGTCACTACTACAGTAACAAGGTCACATCTGCGTTTGTAAAGGCATTTTGGTAACACAAAGTGGATTTATATCCTTTGTAGCTATTAAAGAATATATTTAAATGAAAGTTTTTGTGTCCCCGGAGCTCACCTTTTAATCCTCCTTCTGGTGCCGAACGTGAAATATCAGCTTTGGTTAAGGTCGGCCTATAAAACAGACTCCGGCCTATTTTTTTGAGCAGCGTTGGCTGCTCGCCCATCAATATGTCGGCGTCTGCAGTGACTCGGGGTGACCGATGTTTATAATGCGGACGGGAAGCAAATGTTCCGTGCCCGGCATGAACGGTCAGGGGGATTTATATGACGATGGCGAGCCGCCAGACAGCGCTGGAGAATCCCTCGGTCACCTCACCCTTGAAAATGACGTATGTACACGGCGGTCTGCAGCCTCTCCCTCCGGGGATACAGCGCGGGCGCGGCGTAGTACATAATATATATGGCCTCTCCATATCACTTTACACCCATGTGCCCTCAACAAGCCCCTTCCCTTATAAACAACACCCCGTCCTCATTTCTCAGACTGGTGACACCCTCGGAGAGGAAATGCCAGAAGCAGATGAATTGCAGAGCTGTAGAAGAAGTTGACGCGTATCCAGTTCATTTTGTTTTTTATTTAAATGCCTTACTGCAACACTTCACTGCAACACCTCGCTGCAATGCCGTGCTACAACGCTTCACTGCAATGCCTTACTGCAACACCTTGCTGCAGCGCCTGCCCGTCAGCAAGGTGCATTGTGGTGCCATTCAGAATCAGATGGGTAAACAGACGCCCCAAAATCCAGAGCATTCAGCACCTTATGGAGGGGACATGTTGGAGGCCCGTGTGCATGACCGTATCAAATAACTGAACCCTGTAGTTGTTTATACGTCTTTGGTATTTGACGCTGTTATGCACACTCAGGTGTTGGGAGACAGTATGACCTTCACGTCCAACCAGGAAAGACAACACAAAGCACAGGATGTGTCTCCGTCACTGGCGCTGTAACTCTGTCCTCTGTTTCGGTTTTCTTTCAGAGAGTTTTCGGACATTTCTGCAACTCAGAGAGCTCGAGCTGCCTATGAATGGGATCCAACGTATAAAGATCAAACCCGGAGATTTCCTGCACCTCGAGGTGAGGAACCTATTCTAGTCCCTATTAGATCCCTGACCTGGGCTCTGAGCTTGAGGAAACCATACTCTGATGACGAGCAGTGGTGCCACGTGGATATCTGTGGCCCTGTATTGTACTCTGGGGTCAGTTATACCATTAGGTGCTGTAGGCACCCACTCCTCCCACTACCTCCCACTACAGAGGTAGTGGGAGGAGAATTGCACCCTTACATTGGCAGTCAGTGGAGAAGTGCGCTGTACAGAGGTAGCGGGAGGAGTATTGCACCCTTACATTGGCGGTCAGTGGAGAAGTGCGCTGTACAGAGGTAGTGGGAGGAGAATTGCACCCTTACATTGGCGGTCAGTGGAGAAGTGCGCTGTACAGAGGTAGTGGGAGGAGAATTGCACCCTTACATTGGCGGTCAGTGGAGAAGTGCGCTGTACAGAGGTAGTGGGAGGAGAATGGCGGTCAGTGGAGAAGTGCGCTGGACAGAGGTAGTGGGAGGAGAATGGCGGTCAGTGGAGAAGTGCGCTGGACAGAGGTAGTGGGAGGAGAATGGCGGTCAGTGGAGAAGTGCGCTGTACAGAGGTAGTGGGAGGAGAATTGCACCCTTACATTGGCGGTCAGTGGAGAAGTGCGCTGTACAGAGGTAGTGGGAGGAGAATGGCGGTCAGTGGAGAAGTGCGCTGTACAGAGGTAGTGGGAGGAGAATTGCACCCTTACATTGGCGGTCAGTGGAGATGTACACAATACAGACGTGGTCAGTGGATACATTGGTGGTAGTCAGTGGAGAAATGCATCGGTTCGGGGTCAGTCAGTGGAGAACGGCATTAGTACAGTAAAGGTCAGTTGAGAAGTGCAATGGTGAAGTGACAGTCAGTGGAGAACGGCATCATCGCTGTGGCAATGGATGTAATGATGCTCTGTGGGATGTTAAATGTTTGGATATTTTTTTATGACCCCTGATCTGTACTTCTCCACAACTTTGTCCCCGACCTGTTTGGAGAGCTCTTTGGTCTTCATGGCGCCCCTTCCTGGGTGTGGTGCAGACTCTGCACCCTTTCAGAACAGGTGTATGTATACCGAGGTCATGTGACACTTAGATTGCACTCAGGTGTGTGTGTATGTGTGTGTGTGTATATATATAATTACACTATATACAGTATATTGCACATACTAACCTCTAAATAGATTACATTGTATATTGTCTTGAATCCCAGCTACTGGATCTGTCATACAACAGCCTGTCTCCAGGGGACATCACACAGCTGGGGGTACTCCCACGACTCCGAGTACTCTACCTATCAGGAAATGAGCTGACTCAGCTGCCCCCGGACCTGACCGCTCCACCTCCGTGAGTACCGCTCATTGTTACACATTGATAATGGTTCTTGTCTTTGATTGCATATGGCTGATTATTTTATTGAAGATGATTTCAATAGTTTTATGCTAGTAAAAGAGAACCTGTCATTCCTCTGCATGGAACCCTACTGAGCACACCTTTGCCAGTCAATCCTGCGGAGATACACCAAGCGTATATAAAACATGACAGCACCCGGCCTAAGTACTCCTCTCAAGAGCCCTCAGCCCTGACGCAAGCAGTGGGCTGCCTCTTGGGAGGACTTATGGGTTCCGGTGCTCACGCAGGGTGTCCGGAAACTCAACATGGAGCTCAGGAATCATCATCTCCTGTATGAAGATAGAGGCAGACACCGCGGGGGCACAGGGGATTGGTGCACAGATCTCTTAACTGCTGAATACCAGATATAATGTAACAGCTCTGAGCATTTGCATCTGTCTCTTTACTCCACTGATAGACGCGGAGGGATTCATGGTGCACGGTCTTACTTGAAGGAGACTAGAAGGAGATTTAAAGAAGCAGTTAAGAACTGCTGGGGCTTGTAGTTCCACATTGGTTGTGTGCTGTTATCTGGACAGAGCAACTGTGTCACCTCCCCCCCACATCAGGGGCCCCCCATCACATCGGGAGCCACGGCAGAGGATGGGAGGCAGAGCAAGCCTGGGTGGAGGCAAACTTAAACTCTGTGCTGAATGGGTCCCATCCTCCCTGGATTAGCGTCATTAATTTCCATGGCCGGCCGACCTGCACCACGGAAAGGCTTGACTCTGTGAAAATTTCAAGAAGCCAGAAGGCACCCCCCCCGGTTGAGAGAGTCTGCTCTAAACAGCGGTGACCATACGTAGCCAAAAAACTTAAATCCTGACTATAGATGGGTCCCAATATCTAATCATATAAGAAAAGCCAACAACAAGAGGTCAGTTGTTACAACAGGAAAGTACCAAATGGTTGGATATCCTTCCCCGATAGTGTCTGCATAGTTCCGGTGCCGATGTCACGTGGCTGAGATGCTGAAACTAGGCAGACACTACCGGGAAGGATGTCCATCCACCGGACGGTGCAGGAACTCGGCAGCATGCCAGCAATGGCTGTATCCAGGGAGGAGCACACTCGCCTCTCTGCCACTGCCATTCAGTTACTTTGGTAGCCTGATAATAATAAAGTGCGAAGCAAGAAAACATAGATCGTTACTCTCTACATGTCTGAGCAGAAACATGGAAGAGTGACGCTCCCTGGCGTTCTCGGAATGGCCGATGTGCCGGACGAGCGGCAGCCTGTGTTTTCAGAGCAGATGGGAAGTCGCTCAGCACAGGGGCAGTACCAGGACCCGGAAGAGCGCTGTAACGCACTAGGAAGTTATTGGCATCTGCGATCAACAGAAAGACTTCTAAATATCCAACAGTCAAGAGATTACGGGGAGGAGACATGTGACCTAAACAAGACCCCGAATCGCTCATTGGGGTGTCATGAAATGCGTAGCCAGATATTATCTAACATGCCCTTTCTATGTAGGGATGATGAAGACATGACCATGTTTCCCTGCCTGGATATTCTGATGTTGGACGACAACAGACTTTCCCACCCGGCTGTGTTTGTGAGCCTGGCTGGTCTTAAAAGGTAAACTGTCTTCGGTGATGTGACAGAAAGTGTCTTTGGTGTCCCATATTTGGGCTTATTGGGGGGGGGGGG